GAAGAGGGCAGCCAGATAAACTTAATAAAGTTACCATTTCCTGAGTAAAAGTCAAGTCGGAATCTCCCAAGGGAGCTTAGTGAGAAAAACCTCAAATTATACGGACTGGCTGTGGACCGTTTAATTTCCCCCCCGCGCTTTCCCTCCCCCACTCCCCTAAAGAAAAATTAAGCCACCCGTGTTTCTCTTTTCCTCTCCTTTCCTCTCCTCTCCTTTCCTTTCCTTTTTTTTTTTTTTTCCCTGAGAAAGACGAAGCAACCACAATCATAAAAGCCCAAGAGTTCTGAGTTCATCACCACGCTAGACCCAGGAGTTCAAAGCCAGAGCTCTCAAAACCAAGCCAGAGAACCCTAAGGCACCCAAGGTTTCTCTGCGCAGATGAGCGGAGCTGGGCAGGTTTGCAAATTTCTTAATATCAAACTCCAGTTCCAAAGCCTCAAAACACCTAGTTTTCATTTGATTCTTTTGAAGTCTTAAAACTTTCAATTTTTTCTTACCTGTAAAAACCAGCTTTTTAGGTACATGGAACGTGTCACCTGGGAGAAAATCCTAGTTGTTATTTTCTCTCACAAACCCATTCCCACTTCCTCACCCCTCTTATTATTTTAAAACAGAGTCAGATACGTATTAATAGCTCTCCCGTGATACGTTTAACAGAAAATAGCAGCAAGGAAAGAGAGTCCCTTTCCTGAGCCTATTCCTGCTGTCAAGAATCCCAACGAGAAATTATAAGAAAGTTTGTCATTTTCTTTTGCTAAAGGGCCTTTAATTTGTAAAAAGAGGCAGTATATACAATGGTTAGGAACTCTGATCCTCTGGTACCATCGCCACTTAAGCAAGGTTTTTAAACTTTTAGAGCCTTAATTTCTTCATCTGTGAAATGGGGAAATAATAGTTTCAACCTCAGGAGATGCTGTGAAGATTCAGTGAGATAATGCAAACGTGTGGCACATAGAAAGCATTCATTAAATATCACCTGTGGTTATAAGTGGGGATTAGAGATTAACTTTTATAAACAAGCAAATTTTTAAATCAAATATACTTTGTTCAGAGAATGCATAGTCAAAAGTGTCAAGGTATTTTGTTACAAACAATAGGAGAGCATATAAAGCAGCTAGCATAGTATAAAGCATTTAACAGGTGTGCAGTGATTTTTATTAGGTCATCATTTCTTAGAATAACATCGTGAAGAATAGAGTTAAAAAATAGTTTCTAATTCCCACATATATTTGATGAACCCAGTTTATATATAAAGCAGTTTCATAATCCCCAAACATTTATGATTATTTTTACGTTTTTGAATTAGAGGTCTAGTATTTAAACTTGTTTAGAAGTGGTTAATTTATACATTCACTTCAAAACTAAACTAACCATTTAAAATAAAAATAGAACACTGTTTTGAATGACCTACTCTGTATATTCTGAACA